CAAACACAGCACTTCTTGTCATGCCTGCATGTTAATATTATGTGTTTAGCAATGCTCTTGCAGGAGTATTGAGAAATATTTTCAAAGTAGTTCACTCTATAACATATATTGTAAAAAAAAAAAAAAGTTAATATAACAAGGCGAGAAACAAAGCTTTTAAATTTCCTGGGACTACTTTGGACTTATCTTTTATAACATACTGCTGTTTAAAATATGTGGGTATCTCTCACAGAACACTGACGGGGGTGGGGGCGGGGAGTGGATAGCTCCATTCATTTGGATATATACTGAGTGTTTCGGTTTTGTTGTTGCTGTTGCATAGTTGTATTGTTTGTTTTGCCTTGCACTGCTCTAAGCCCTGGCTCTGTAGGAAGTACAACATATGACACAAGAATTTATAAATAAATATGAAAGCATTTTGAATGGTAATTTGCATTTTGTTTGCCTATAGACAATTTCAAAATGGTGTTGACAATACAAAAGTTAAACTATAGAAAGAAAAAAGATGAATAAACAAACAGGAAAAAGTGTGTGGATAAAATTAGAGTTCAATTAGCATTTGGAGCCAAACATGTGAGGGGAGAAGGGTATCGGAGATGTAAGCAAAGATAAGACTGATGCCTATAATTGGGAGACTGCTCTATGCTACTGGGAGGGATTCACCAATTTATTTCAAATAAGAATATTCTCCAATGTTCCCACTTGACTGTCCCAGTCTTTTCTGCACAAGGGTCATGAGCCCGTTTGACCTGGGCTGTCTTCATATGATCTCCAGTAGCAGTAAAATGTAAATGGTCATCCTGACCTCAGTACAAGAAGAGACTTAAGAGGAATATTGTGCATTCCCAAAATAAATGTCTTCATCAAATACCAAGCATAAAAAAGAATGCATGGTGTCCTAACCCATTCAGAGACCGCTTTCAATCATGCACAAAATCATTTAACAAAAAGAGATTAAAACCTTGGCCTTTCCGTCTGTGGGCTGTTATTACTATATTAAATTAGTTTTAAAGAGACTGATCAGTTTGATACAGACCTGTTTTAGAAAACAGAAAAAAGTAAAGCTTAGATCTAGAGTCAATTTTCTTTCTCCATAGTAACAATCACATTCAAAAGTGCTTTAGTACTCAAAAAGCCTTCACTTAAATTCTTGAACTTAAATCCTCCATTCTACTTCATGCACTATTAAATCTTCTGTTGAACAAATCCTACCCAGCTTCTATCAGCATAATAATGCATATTTTAAAACAAATTAGTAGTACCTTTTCTTCTAAAATATTACCAAATAATTGCAGGGCATCTTATCTGCATTCTGAGATCTATTTCTTTTCTACAAAATTGAGTCCTCTGTTTTGTAATTTGTACCTTCATTTATTACTTTAGGAGGAAAATCAATAAAAAATGTATAACAACATATTATCTGAAATGATGGGAAAATAAAGTTTCAAACAAGCACATTCTTCAGATATGTCTCTTTCACCTTTAAATAGGTTTTTCAAGCTTAAACATTTTGGACAAAATCTCTTCAATAATGTACATATTTCACTGCCTTTGTATCCCCCAAATGTTGAACATATTGCAGTGAGTCTTTGTCTAGGATGCAAGATCAATACTGGTATCAAATACAAGCATATTCTCTCACAGGGTAACGCCTTTTGGCCTTTAAACATAGCCCCTCTCCCACCCCAAATAAATGTTTTTTTCTAGTTTTTTTACACTGTAAGGTAGCTCTGCTTTTACATATACTTTTTCAACCTCCTCTTTGTCTAACAGCTGCCAGGTTTTATTGCTCTGATTAAGTCTGACCTATTACCTCATATGTCTTTAATTTTTTGAATTCAGTTTATAGAGAGCCCAGGAACTTAAAAACCAAGAGAAATAGACTTTTCTATATGATTTAAGGCCGAAATGCATTATCTATTTTAGGTGGTCAGGAGTTTTTGATGTTTTCTCCTAGGTTCTCAGCTCTGTGCTACAGGCAAGGCAAGATACTTCTCTACAAGTGGGGTGGATATAAGTTATTGCCCAGTTGATAGTTTTAGGCAGGATACTGTGATCATATCAAGGTGTAAAATCCTGAGTTGCTCCATAATTCAGATCCTAATTTATTTCTGTTTATGTTTTAAACCTCAGGATCTAGTAGTAGAGGCTTTAGATTGTCATTTTTTTTTCCTCACAAGAAAGCAAATTGCAAATGCCACAGTGTTTTGGAGATTTGCAACCTTTTAATAATGATGACAGAATTTTATAGTGGATGCTGTGCCCTAGTTGCTATCCAGCAAGGAAACGTTGGGAGGGGGGTTATTTAAGGAGGACTCTGACACAGAAAGGATACCACTGGAGACAGACTGCTTGACATGATATCAGCGACTTTATGAAAAACAGAGAGAACGTGTAGAAATGGTGTAACGGTGAATCTGTAACACTGTTTTAAGGGCTATATCAGCAGATGCTAGAACTAACTTTTGAGGAATGGTTCTCAGTTAAGGATCAATTAGAAACAAATAATGTCAAGTCACTGAAAGCTATTGAAACACAATAGGCACGTATATAAGGAATAATAACTGGCTTAAATGAGTAATGACAAAACTTTATCATGTCATTTAGTCTCTTTTGGCCAGTGACTTAAGTTAGAAACTTACAAGTTTTAGGAACCATACACTTTACCACTGTGACAGAAAAGGATAAGCTGTAATCTCTTCCAGTACTTTAGATCTATACACGTAAATAGTTGAATATACATCCATGTAAATCAATATAACAAGTACTTACTTCTATGTATAAAATTTACAGCTGGTATGGAGAGTAAGCTTAAAAGTATGCCAAACATTTCAGTAATAACTGTTTTACTACAAGCTCCTCATAGCTCTATGTGCATTTCCTTGGAAGTTACTCAGGAACCCCCTGAGAAATAATGGCTCAACCTAGACATATAGTTATTTGTGTGTGGCAGTTAGAGCAACTCTGCTTCCAAGTTAAAATCCTGTGGTACAAGCAGCACGTCCTTACAACTCACCCTCCCTCTCTTTCTCAGGGGAGCACTGAAAACTTTAATAATATCAGTTTCACAGAGAGTAGAAAGTCACTTTATGTGGATTTGCAGATTAACATTTACTACTTTACTTCCCCCGCCCGCCACCCAACATCTTTCCTTTAAAAGATCTCCATTGATTATCCTGACACCTGCTGGCAAGGGCATAGTCGATGATCCTAGTCTACTTTTCCCTTCAACAATTCCCCCAAAGCAAAGACTGTTTAGAGGTATTTTCAGTAACAATTAAGTGGTAATTCATTCAGTGTAAGTATTTATAGTACTTAATTTTTAGCATTATCACACAACCATGAGAAAATTTTCAATAATCCATTTCACGTAGCCAACAACTTAAGTCTTTATATATAACGACATGTTTGCTTTGATTAACCAAAAGATATTGTAATCATTATATGGGCTGTGATTTAAAAAACAAAAACAAAAACATGCTAGACATCTTCCTTAAAAGACAGGTAAGAATTAAGTAATAGGAATGGCTTGGCTTTGGTTTTCTACTATTTTTTTTTCATCATAATAACATCAGTTTGCAAACTACTTAGGAAATAAACTCAAACTCATATAAACTCATAGGAGTAAACTGATTAGCCTGAGAGAAGCCATACCATTAATTACATATTTGCAAAATTTGCTGTTTGTTTCTCAGTACCCAAGTGTTCTGACTTACTCTGATTTGAACTGAGTTCTGAAACCCACACTGTTTTCCGTGGGTTTATTTGGCAAGGAATATAATGAACCTACACCATAAATGATACTCAAATCTATTGGCGCCTACAAGTATGTTCAATAAACAACAAATACAGGCCATCCCATTATTCAAAACCCTTCGAAAGATGAAAAGTTCTAAAAATAAATTACCTAATTAAAATCTTTATCTTAATCAGTGAAATTACGAGTGTGGACTACTAATTTAGAGTCTAAAAACTGTCAGACTTATACTTTGTAATGGTTTTGAGCAACCAAGCTTTTTTAGTCTAGCCATGTATATGGTATCCTCATTTTGTGGGAAGGAAAAATCGTATGTATCTAACAAGAAAGGAAAATTTTATGAAAATATTTATTAAAAATACCCTATATCCTGAATACATGTTTTATATAAACACTGATCTTAAGATATTTGAGAAAAATACAAGAGAGTTTTAATTTAGAGAAGAGTTCAGAAGTAAAATACATTTGCCTGGTTTTGAAGATCTTTGTAAATTCAAGACTGCAGAGGGGAGAACAGACCATTTCAATTTTTTAACCCTTAATTTGTATTATTATAAATGTTTTCCCCAAACAATATAAATTTAAAACAAAAATACATTTCAATTCTAAGAAAATATTTCAAAAATAATTAGAAAAAACTTTTTTAGGACCAGAAGGGAAAAAATGTGTTTTGTATCATAACAGTGGTCAGGGCTTTCTTTGCATTAGTGTCAAACTGTACCAGCAGGATATTTTATCTTCAATTACTTATTATTTTTAATTCAGTATTTCCAAATTATTTTTTTAATGTTTCACCTGGAATCTGCAGCTGGCATTGATTGTTAAAGTATAAAATTAATGATCATGTAAATCAAGTAATGAAGACACTAATGTGTAATAATTTTTTTAAAGTACAGTAACCTGTTATTTCAGCATCAATATTGCTATACTAATCATAGAAGCATGGGTGTTTTTACCTCGAGTGAGACTGTTCAGGTACTAACTGATCCCCATGTAGAATTAACTAAAAATCGCCATTGATTAAAAAAGGAAATGTGAATGCCAATGATTCATAGTATTTAGGACATGTCTAGACATTTTTAAACAGTGCCATTTGCTTAAAGACTTCAGACACAAACTGCAAGCACAGGGACAGATTGCATAAGATGTCACGTGCTTGCTGCAACTGTATGCATGTAATTGGATTTTTTAGAGCAACCCATAACAATGAATAATTTAAGAGTTAATGAAATATTCAATCTGACTGATCCACTGGTTTAATTTTAAAATAAAAACGACTAAGAAAAGGAATTACATGTCCTTATCAAATCCCAGTCATTAATATGCGTAAATTGCAACCCACACGGGGAAACACCAATTTATAAAACGTATACATTAGACAAATGATATCTGGGGAGGTGGGGTGGGAGAGGTGCAAGGTAAATTCTCATCGTTAACACTGGCCTCAGTAAGTTTGCTCAAAGTTTAATTGTTTGGAGATGTCACGCAAGCTGTACTCTGCCTTTCTGCAGAGCTGAGGGAGAATAAATTAGAAAGGTGCAAGTTTAACAAAAAGAGCTCGTGGAAAATGGTCCATTTCTTTCCTATCCCTCTCCTCACAGGCCGTCTGGACAAAAAGAGAAATCTACGGAAGAATGTGGAGTACACACTGCCCAGCATTGTCTAGGAGACGGAAAGAGAGCCCAGGCAACACACCAAGAGTAAGCTGTGTCCTGGGCGTGTGTATCTTTGGACAGCAGAGCTTCCGGCTGCAGCGAGACGGGACTCACCGCGCCCGAGGGCTCCAGCAACCAGACCTAGGGAGGCTAGCGCGGCACACAGGTTAGATATACTTTCTCCTCCTCCACCTGCGCCGCCCTCCGCCTGGGTGCCAGGAGTGATGATGGAGGCGATGGTGTCAAGGAGTAGGTGCCTGTGAGTGGGTGAGTGTGTGTTTTCGGTTTGGGGTGGGAACGGAGGCGGAGAAAGGAGGAGGGGAGGGGAATGCCTGCCGTTCTCCCTCTCCTTTCCTGCTGAAGGATCAAAGTGCAGAAGGAATCCAGACGGGGAATGAAAGAAAGGAGAAATATCGGTAGTGGAAGCACTGTCTTTTTCGTATAGCTGGGGCAGTCCGCAGCGCAACTACAGAGCCATTACCATTCCTTAACCTTCAGTGGAGTGGCTGGTTGCCTGTCTGATAACTGGAAGGGCACATAGTAAACGCGGGCGAGGCACACACCTACTCGCAGGGGGAAATAGCCACATTCTGGGGGAGGGAGGGAGGCCGAGGAAAGGTGAGGCCTGGATAGCTACTGATAGGGCACCGAGGCCATCTGGCCAGGAACACCCGGCTTCTTAGGCAAATAGTAGCCCAAGAGTTCACAATTTTCCTGTGAAACAAATAGACGGATGGGTGCGTGGATGAATGGTGTAGAATATTCATTCAGCGTCTAATCTCAAATGGATTTGAGTCAATGCATTTTTTAATCCAGCCACATTTTTTAAGAGGCATAGCATTTTAAACCCTGTAGTGCACTCAGCTCTCCACTTGAAGCAGCCTGCGGAGGGTTTCATTACCCACTGAACGCATAGAAGGAGCCGCCTGTATATGTGGGCACAGAAGGGACTCGGGTCCGCCTCGAGCAACCTACCCAGAGTCCCTGCAGCTCCCCCTGCCCTTTCCAGGCGCCAACTTCAACGCCAACGCGAGCTTAGATGCAACCAAGACCAAGGCTTGTATCGACAGGCCATCCTTCCCAGGGACCTGGAAGCCAACTACGCAACTCAGCAGGAGACTCTTCAAAGTCCTGTGTTTTCGGGTTTTTTTTTTTTTTTTAACAGACTGGTTTATTTCATGCAATTCATGAAAACCACCGCCAGACCACCTCTTACAACTTTTCCGCTCTTGGGCGGGGGCGCCAGGGTTGTCTCGCAACGCAAGATTCCCTATTACCAAGAGTTAGGCTCCTACCAGGAGGGTATGCTGAGCAAAGCTTGAGGCCCTTTGGGCTACAGGAAGGGCGGGTTCCTGGGTTTTTTTCTGCTATTGGTGCTGCGCCTCCAGGATGGGGAGATGGGAGAAAGCCAAACTGACTTATCAGACCCGTCTCCACCGCACCCATCGCCCAAACTCCCAGCACCGGGTTCGGATTTGCAAACTGCTTGGCGTGGGCCGGGCACCAGAGCACAGCACCCTGGAGGCGGACAGCCCTAAGGCACTCTTCCCCTTTCCACTCCTCCACTCCCGGGGCACGCTCGCTTCCCTCGCTCCCCAGCGAAAGCCCCGTCTGGAGCCGGGAGCCGGCATCACCCACACTGCCCAGGGAGGGTTCGCGTGGCTACCCGGGGGCCAAGTAAGCCGTGGAAGATGTTTTCCCTCCCGCCTCCCCTGCATCCCCGTCCTTCCTCGATCTCATCTGGGTACCCCACACCCTCTTCCCGGCTCAGCCCCGCATACTCCTCTCTGACTTTGCGAGCACTTTTCCTGGGCACACAGGGCAGGGCGCAGCCTCCTCTGTGCCGCCCACGGCGCTCGCCACCCCGGGAGCGCCCGGGGTACCTCCTCCAGCCCCCTGCGCAGCGTTTCCCAGGGGACTCTCTGCCTGTCCCGCAACCGGCGCCCGGGGCCGTCGCCTCACCTTTGCAGAACTGAGGGACACCAAGGCTGAGCCCAACCAGGAGCCAAGCAGCCACCGAGCGCTTCATGATCCGTCTCTCGGACGTGACCCCGCTGGTCAAGGGTCCTAGTGGAGGGTAGTGTCGCCGAGGCTGCACCGCAGGGCAGCGGCAGACCCCGCCCCGACAGAGGATTCAAGAAGATGTCTTTTTCCTGCAGCGTCTCCTTAAACAAATTCTTGGAGAGAGCAAGAAAGAGTGGCGACCAAAGAGAGGAATCTTTCTTCCCCTTTTGCCTGCGCTCCGGGGCGCTGGGAGGTGGGCGAGCTCCGGGGAGTCGGCAGCGGGCTCAGCCTCCTCTGCGGGTGGGTCCCAGACGAGGCGCGGCGGGCGGGGCCGGGCGCCGGCAGCGGCTCGGGGTCACCCGCGCTGGCGGACCCGCAGACTGTGTGCTCTGCTCGCGCCGCCGCGGCCGGCTGCGGGGCTTCTGACTTAAGAGAACAATGAAGCGTGAGCAGGCGGGGAGCGAGGGAGCGAGCCGAGAGCGCACTGTGTACAAACAGAGGCGGCGTGCGTGTGAGCTTGAGCCTCGCAGGCGCCCGCCCGCCCCGCGCGCCCCTCCTTCCTATTCCCTCCAGCAGCCTCCCCCTCTTTCTCCCCCCCCCCCCACTACCCCCCAGAGGTGGCTCCTTCTGCTGGAAGAGAAAAGGGAGACAACTGCAGCCACACCCTGGCACCTGCCACCACCTCTGAAGTTCCTACAGTGCCTGTACCTTCTGCACACACGCCAGAGACTCCGGGGTTAAGGGAAGCAACCCTTGGTGTCTGAGATTCTCTTGGTTTCCAGCACTGACTTTATAATTAACCACGTCAAGGAATCCCCTGAAGTCCCGTTCTCTGCATAGCCAGAAAAAGAAGTTAAGAGATTTTGAAAAGTGGCTCTTGGGGCACAAAGCTGCCCGAGAGACAGAACGCTGCAAAGTAAATTGTCCCGGATTCCAGGAAATGCAACCTAGTCAGCAGCCAGCCTCTAATCAGCTAAGACAGGGCTGCTCTGCTGCTGTTCTGGCTGCACTTTGGTTGGCTCTAGGGTTGGGGAGAGAGCCCTGTGGGCTCCTCTGTCCACCGGGGCAAAAAGGTGAAGGCACAGGGCAAGCCAGTGGGAGGCATACATCTCCTCAAGGAGGACATCTGTTTCAGATGAGAAATAGCGGGGCGAGTTTGGGGGCCGTGCAAGAAAATAAAAGGCAAAGACAGATTCTTGAAGCATCACCATGGTAGATCAAATTTCGCTGCTACCCACCAAAAGCAATATAAATTGACTGGCTTTTTGCAGTCAAAGTGGCTGAACCAAACTACAGCCCATGGCTTACAATAGTGTTTTCTCCTCTGTTTTCCATTTAAAATATTTGCTTAGGGTACATGGATTCAGCTCTGGCAGTTGCAGGTACCAAAATAAAAACAGCCTTTTTTTTTTTTTTCTTCCTTCTAGAGAGGGAGGTAGGGAGAGAGACAGAAACACCAGCAAAGAAACATTGAAGGAAACATTCTTGAAGGCAAAGATTTGAAAGGAGAATGTACTAAGAAAAAGATAGCAGAGGACAATTGGTCATGCAATTCATCTCCTTTTGCCTCCTTGACTCCTTTAAACTTCAATTTCTACCTTCCTTTGGAATTTGAAGTGAGAGCAAGGGATGTAAGGCTGATGGAAAAATAACTGCATACTGCCACCGAGAAGTTAAGGTACTGCTGGCAAACAAACAAAAAAACAAGAGCAACAACAAAAATTATTTGAAAACAAGGTTTGTTCAGATCTCATGTTTGGTGGGGGTACAAGAACATTTTTTAAAAAATGATTTTGCTAAGGGAAAGAGGAAGAATCATTTATTTATATTCTGTTTTCTTGCTTAAAGCCACAGATGTTAGTGTAACGTACCACTGTCCAGAGCTGCAGCAAAGCAGTTTTAAACAAGCAAATTCCAACTTTCTGTCACATCACTGTTACTTAATTTTAAAAGTATGCTTTTTATCAGTCATGTGGTGGCATGTCCATCATAAAGTATCTCTTTAACTTTTTGAAGTGTGATGTTTAATATTAGTTTTAAGGTATTATTTCTAAAACATAGTACTAAATCTCAAAAACGAACAGACACACACTACTATATATATGATAGGTAACCAACAAGGACCTACTGTATAGCTCAGGGAGGTCTACTCAATATTCTATGATAACCTATATGAGAAAAAGTCTAAAAAACAATGAATATATGTATTTGTATAACTGTATCACTTTGCTGTACACCTGAAACTAACAAGACATTGTAAATCAACTATACTCCGAGAAAATTTAAATAAATAACAAAATAAAATCAGAAAACAATGACTGTGATGAGACATTAAAGAAAAAAAGTGTGCCAAGAGTTTTGTTTATTTTCCTATTTATTCCCTGTTTATTTCCACTTTTCTGGTAATATATGACCTCAGTAGGCATGTTAGAAAGTTAAATAATTTTTTTGGCAACAGTGTATGTTACTAAAATTTTCTTTTAGTTTAAGTTCTTAAAAAAAAAAAAACTCCAGGAGAGCATAAAACTGCACTAAAATTCATATTCTATGATCAAATGCCTAGAATTGTGACTATAAAAGCCATTCTGTATTACCTGGTAGTCGACTTGTAAAATATGTTGCCAGTTTAATACCTCTACTTTAAGTCCCATTTCCAATCTAAATTTAATACATAATCTTAGATTCATACCTCCCTGTACATAGTTACCCCTTTTTCCCCACTTATTGATAATCATCATGTACTAATAAGCCTTTCATTTTGAAAATTCCAGGCACTTTACCTAATTTACAGTTATAGGACTCATTTCACTCTTACTAAACTCATATACAGCCTGTCCAGAAGTGGAATATAAGAAATGTTAAAGGACCACAAGAAATAGACATTTTATAAAAGGAAAAGAAAAAGGGCGAAATTCTGTTCAGAATTTTTACCTCACACAAAGTGCAAAAGGACCTTTACTAATCACATATGATCCAACCTACAGTTTTATAGCTCCTCCAAATATATGCCTAGAGCAACAAAAATGAATCTATACATCACTTGAAGACAGCAGGTTCCAAAATATTTTCTGCAGGCTTACTTTCCCCAAGATGTTAATGGGGAAAAAAAAAGTTTCATAGTCAAATAATTTTGGGAAACATCGCCAATCAAACCAGCCTCTTAAAGATTCATGGTGAATGTTAGCATATTAAAAACTTTGAAAGGTCCTGTGATTAAGAAACTTTTTCAAAAGTGTTAATCCAGCATTTTACAAACTTTGTGGGTTTTTTCGGGTTTTTTTGTTTTTTTTTTTTTTACTAAGGTAAGCTTTTTCTCTGCACACCTGTTAACATATTGTATTTAGCGCTATAAGGAAAATAATTTGGGAAATGTCTGAAAATAAAGCAGAATAAAGTATCAGCAAAACAAACAAAAAAAGAGACTGTGGAAAGTTTACCGATTTTCAAGAACTATTCTTATTGACTCCTTGTTTAGATTCTGGAACAGAACATGTCTGAATTGGAATACTGTCTCTACCACTTTAACTCTTTTAACATAGGCAATTCAGTTCATCGCCAAGTCTCAATATTCTTATCTGTAAAATGGAGTTAGTAATAGTATCAAACTCATAGTGGTAAATTATTGTGGTTACAAAAGGGCCTAGGCCAGTAGTGGGCACACGGTGGTGGTGATGGTGATGGTGATGGTGATGGTGATGATGGTGATGATGATGATGATGATGACAGAGACAATAATCACATACAGAATTCCAAAAGAATTTTCCTCAATAGCTGATTATCTCAATTTCCCATCCCCCACCCCCATTAAATTATCTGGAAAAAAATTTTTTAACTCATCTTTTAATTTGTCAATCAGCAAATAAAGGTAGCATTTTGTATTCCTGTAATTATTGAAAGATATTTATAAATAAACTAGATATAGGAAGCGTCTTAGATTATTTGATCAAATTACACTCAGTAGTACTATTAATTTTAAAAATCATTTTGTGCTTAAAAACTTTATTTTGCATTTAGAAAACTCTATTTTCTTTAATATCCCAAATGCCTCTGAATTAAAATCTCAGCACTGTGGGCTCCAAAGCAGAAAACCCAGTCAAGCCCACCTAGACTTCTGACTTACAGAACTGTGGGCTAATAAATTGGTGCTTTAAACTGCTAAATTTGTGATAACTTGTTAAGCAGCAAGAGAAAAGTAGTACAGTAAGTCACTATCATCATCCCTTTTTCAGAGAGAAGGAATGTGGCACAGGTTGGTTAGGTAAATTGCCTGTGGTCTCAAGTTAGTGTCAGTCTGAATCCAGAAACCACTTTACTCTACTGGTAAAAATCATGGA